ATGCCAGGCTGTGCCAAGCCAGGCTGACCTGCGCCAGGTTGCACCAAACCACGCTGGTCCATGCCAGGCTGTGCCAAGCCAGGCTGAGCTGCGCCAGGCTGCACCAGACCACGCTGGTCCACGCCAGGCTGTACCAAGCCTGGCTGACCTCCAGGTTGCACCAGACCACGCTGGTCCACGCCAGGCTGTGCCAAGCCAGGCTGAGCTGCGCCAGGTTGCACCAAACCACGCTGGTCCACGCCAGGCTGTGCCAAGCCAGGCTGACCTGCGCCAGGTTGCACCAAACCACGCTGATCCACGCCAGGCTGTGCCAAGCCTGGCTGACCTGCGCCAGGTTGCACCAAACCACGCTGGTCCACGCCAGGCTGTGCCAAGCCAGGCTGACCTGCTCCAGGCTGCACCAGACCACGCTGGTCCACGCCAGGCTGTGCCAAGCCAGGCTGACCTGCGCCAGGCTGCACCAGACCACGCTGGTCGATGCCAAGTTGGACTGACTCACGCTGATCCATTCCAGGCTGGGCCACACCACGCTGAGCTGCGCCAGGCTGCTTTAAAGTAGGCCGAACTGGGCCAGGTTGGAACAAAACACGGTGATCCATTCCAACCTGGACCAAACCATGTTCCCCCGTCTCGGGCTCCACCAAAGCACGCCGATGCATTCTAAGTTGGGCTGAATCTTGCCGACCTATTCCAGACTGTGTCAAACCAGGCTGAACTGCACTTGGCTGGACCAGACCCGATGGATATACGTTGGGCTGCACCAAGTCAAATGGATATGCCACAGGCTGTCCCCAGCCACTGGGGTATGCGCCAGGCTGTGCCCAATCAGGTGGATAAGCACCAGGCTGGACCAAACCACTTGGATCTACAAGAGTCTGGACCAAACCACGCAGATCTGCACCAGGCTGCACCAAACCACGCTGACTGGCTCCCGCTGGTACCAAACCATGGTGGTCTGGCCCAGGCTGTATTATGTCATGCTTATCTGTGTCAGGATGAGCGAACTCAGATGTTCCCAAGCTGGGCTGTACAAAACCTTGCCGATCTGCAACAACTTGCCTCAAACCGGGTGATGCCAAACCACGTTGATGTGTGAGGTGTGGGACCGATCCTTGTTGATCCATGCCAGATATTAAAAATCCATGCTGATCTGCAGTCAAGGGCACCAATCCGCGCTGATCCACACCAGGCTGTTGGGCTGTGCCAGGAAGTCCTGTGCCAAACTGATACGTGCCAAGTGGGCCCATACCAGGCTGAACTGTGCTAGGTAGTTCCCACCCTTGCTGATGTGTGCCAGGTACCACCGGTGGCACCATCCCATACTGATCCAGGCCAGGTGTCACTAAGCCCCACTCATCCGTTCCAGGTGGCATCACACCGAGCTGACCCACGCTGTGTGGTACCACAGCATGTGGGTAAGTCCTGGGATGGCTCCATGCCAGTGGGTCCACGCCATGTGGTCCCAGTCCATGCTGATCTAGCCCGGGCTGGATTCGACCCTGGCTTGCATCCACCCCCCAGTGCTGATCTGGGTGGACTTGAAGCTCATCTCCGGCGACAGGGCCTGAGGATAGGTCCTGTAGGGTGGGACCAGGCTGTGCTTCTCGTTCCTCTTTTCTTAGACGGGCTGAGCTGTGCGACGGCAGCTCTCTCGTCCTGGCGTGACCTGACTCTACTCTGGATTGGGACGCAGATGGGTGATGGGCCTTTGCCAGGCCAGCTTCGTCACGGGCCCTCAGGTGCTGTTCTCTAGCAGGGAATGCGGTAGCGGAGGCACCTCTGCCTCGTTCCCTGGTGACCCCTTCAGAGGGGTTTCTTATGCCACCGAGTCCTGAAAAGATCTGATCTGAGCCAAAAGCACGGGGAGAATCCACAGCCCGGTCAGCACTTGACCGCTTGATGGGGACTCCGCCTTGAAATATGTCATCTGACGTGGCGGAAGTATGCCCTCTGCGTTGAGGGAGGCCCGTCGTTGTCTCTGAGCCCTGGTTGAAGAGGAAGAGAGAGAAGTCAGCAGCTGCAGGTAGAAAGGACTCCCCCACGCTAAGACACGAAGGCAAGAACATCCAGGACATTGGACTAGGGTGACTTGGGGCTTTTGGAGAAGGACACCCTCTGGTCCCCAAAACTAGGCTGGACACAAAAACTCTTGACATTCTTGAAGGATACGTCTCCAAGGCTTTGAGAATCTGCACATTCACAAATGGCATCATAATATGTCAATTGCCCTCGTAACAGACAGCAGGGAAAGGGGCGCCTGGGTGGCTCAGTGGGTTAAAGGCTCTGCCTTCAGCTCAGGTCATGATCCCAGGGTCCTGGGACCGAGCCCTGCTTCAGGCTCTCTGCTCAGCAGGGAGCCTGCTTCCCTTCCTCTCTCTCTGCCTGCCTCTCTGGCTACGTGTGAGCTCTGTCAAATAAATAAAATCTTAAAAAAAAAAAAAAAGACAGCGGGAAGTACTGGACGATACCAGCGATCTACTATAACTATCGCTCCGCCTACAAATAAAGCACGAGTCATTTATTAAGTTCACAATATAAAGTTTGTCCCATCATTGGCCCGTTGTTGATGGCAAAAGTATCACTGCCAGGCAAGTGAACCATGTATCCGAAATGTAAACGCATAAACTCCGGGGCCTGGAAGTTCCGTCGCTGAGGTCTCTTCTATGGACTCTTACAAAGGGCTTCCAGGACATTTGTCCAGTCTGTGGCACCGCTTATGCAAACAGGTTATCAATAGGGGACTGGCAAATGTAAGGGGCATGCCCACAGAGCATAATACTCACAATCCGTTAAAAAATGATGGACTATTTCCATTTCTAGTCCAAACAGAGTAACAGGAATTGGACTTACCCTCCTCCTGTTTGTAGCAACTCAAAACCAAAAACCAAACCAAAATAAAAAAACCCCTGAACTATGAAACGGTGGTTTTCTAGACACTGGATATGAGCTAGTGAAGGCCAGCCATCCCTGAGAAATGGGGAGACAAGCTATGGGAGCCCTCGTGTTGCCTCGGCTTGCTGCCAATTCAGTGGAGTTTCTAGGCTGCTGTCCCAGGAGAGGGATTCCCTGAGTTGAGGAGACAGACCTGACCATTCAGGTAGACTGAGGCAACGAGAGTTCACACGACAGAGTACCCGAAAGAAAGGAGGTGTACGGGGACACCTGGGTGGCTGTTGGTTGAGAGTTTACGACTCTTGATTTCGGCTCAGGTCATGGTCTCAGGGTCCTGGCATCAAGCCCCGTGTCAGGCTCCACACTCAGTAGGAAGGGGGAGTCTGCTTGAGGATTCTCTCTCTCTCTCCCTCTTGCCCCTTCCTTGGCTCATGTTCTCTCTCTTAATAAATAAATCTTTAAAAAAAAAAAAAAAAGAAAAGAGATACACATAGAGAGGATTCAGGAGATCTGTAGTGTTCAGCACAGAAATGATCAGCGTGTGCATGTGAGGAGACTACCCAAGGTTGGGACAAGAGCCATCTGCAAGGCTGGAGGGAACAGTGCCAGACTCTCACAGGGCTGGGAACAGTGCCTGTTTCTGTCAGCCAGTTTGGAAAAACTTCAGTTCAGGGGACAGTATTGAGAAAGGTGTTGCCTCAGAAGTGGAGAATCATCAGCTCTACACTAAACTCTGCTTTCCGAGCCACTAAAAAAACCAACCACGGGCGCCTGGGTGACTTGGTCAGTGAATCATCTGCCTCTGGCTCAGGTCAGGATCTCAGGGTCCTGGGATCGAGCCCCGCATGGGACTCTGCTTCTCCCTGTGCCCCTCCCCCTGATTGTGCCTCTCCCTCTCTCTCTCTCAAATAAATAAGACTCTTTAAAAAAAATCACCCAAACGAAACATACAGTAAAACAACAAGGGAATTAAAACAGTCCCCTAGAATATACTTATTTAACACGAAAGAGACAAAATTGAGGAATAGAAGAACAGAAAAGACATAAGACCTATAGAAAACAAAGAGCCAATGGAATATGTAAACCTACTTTATCAGTAATTAAATACTCCAATCAGAAGACAGAGATTTGCAGAAGGGATTTAAAACCATGACCCAGGGGGCCCACACTCACTGTGTACAGCCTTTTCTCTTAGGGCCTGGAAGCCCATGAGACCCTCTTCAGGGACTAGGAAGCCATGGCCAGGGAGGACCTGGTAGCAAGTACCAGCGTGGGTTTCCTAGCGGCAGGAGTGCCATTGGCTCAGGACATATTCAGCCTGAGAGAAACATGAGGCAGAAGCCTAAGATCATTGGGATCCCTATATCCAAGCCCTCCATCTCTGGATATTGCTTGCTGTCTATGCTGTTGTCCTAGGACAATCAAGAATGCAAGAACCCGGAGTGCCTTTAAAGACAATTGAATAACCAAGAAGTGATGAGCCAAGAATCTGCTGGATGTGTGAAAATGAGGTCAAAATTCCCAAAAAGAACCCCATAAGAGAAGAAATGACCTGTGGTCTTATCAAAGAAGGACCTGCCACCTTTCAGATAATAATAGACTTCAGCATGACAGTAAGTATATTTTCCTACAAAGGCAAAGGATGCCCAACATGTCATAATTATCATTGACAATCATAAGCTGGTTACAGATGGAGGCCAGAAAGAGTTACTGCAACTAAAGGACAAAGATCATGCTACTAAAGTTGATCCTGTTCCTACAACAGAAGTACCCTTATGTGGTAGAACCGTACCCTAACTCACAGGGTTTGCTTATTGAACAGGCTCTCCTGAAAGCTAAACTGAAAGGAATTGTGGCAGGATCTGATGTCTGTTCAAGGAAGGTACGAGAATGTCTTTGATAAGCTCCAACAACACAGTCTCCCTGTGTTCAAATTTTCAGCTGGTGTGGGTGATGTACTAGAAGTTCTCCCTCAGCCTGGTGTTGATCATCCAATTGTCAGAGTCATGACCAACTTCACGGATTTTGATGAAAACGGGGTGTTCAAAGGACTTAAAGGAGAACTAGTTCATGAATTTAACAAACATGGTGGGTCTTTGAGCAACACAGAACATCTCAAAATCAATTGTTAAGACAGTAACAACACAGTTCTGCTGGGAGACTCCCAAGGAGGCTTGAGAATGGCAGAAAGATGGGCCAATGT